AGAGAGAGACTAAGATAAATAATATGTCAGGGCTGGTGATTTAGCTCAGTGGTTCCGCTGCCTGCCTCGAAAGCACAAGGTCCCAAGTTCAATCCCCAGTACCATAAAAAAAAGAAAAATAATGTCTCTTACCAGACTGGACTCCAGAATGTGAAAAAGTGGCTCTTGTTAGGAATAACAAGATTTTTCTTTAAGAATAAGATTTTGTAAAAGGTAACAATGAAAGAGTAAATGTTCGATCACTTGCAGAATGACTGGATAGGCAGCATTGGTGAAAATCTTGTAAAACACAGATGTTCTGCTCCAACTTGGAGATGATGTTCCTGAGAAAATCTTAGGACAAACGAATGATAAGGAAGTGAGCCAATGATCTACTCTTACCTGCGGTGGGACTGAAATTCCCAAACTGTAAGACTCCTGTTCTTATCACCAAGAACAAAAGGAATAGGAGTGATGAGTTAATATTAATTTCTGAGTTCCCAGAATAAATTCAGAATGTTTGAACAACCAGTCAGCAACTTGGAGAACATCACATCTGATACTCGGTGTAAATTCATCAGACCCTGTGGCGAGTCAGAGTCCCAAATTCTACTAGACCTTCGTTTCTGGTTACTTTTTATTTCTCTAGTCTGTCCTCTTGTTTTGGAATCACTTATCTCTGGGACTTTTGATTAAAGAAGTCAAAGCATGAATAAATTTACAAATCCAGAATACTGCTGCCTTGTTTTAAGGATTGTCAGTGTGATCATAAACATATATCTCATTTCTAAGTGATTCAGGATCTTAGATTAAAGCCATGTAGGAAAAATGTCCTTCAACCTTGAGCTTGGTTGGGCCCCTGCAAGCTCATGATCACCAGCTGCAAGGAGAACTAGAGCCGTCCAGCAACCTCTCTAGATTCCCAAGAGCTTTCCCTGCCAGTCTTCGTGACAGTGAATTCAAATTTTCTCTGTTCCCCAAATCTGCTATCCTATCACTTCTACTCACGCTCTGCCCCTGCTGAAAAATATCCCACCCCCAACTTCACAAGAAAAGAGAAGTTGTGGGAAGGAGCCTCACCAGTCCACCTACAAACCTGTCTGCTTCTCCACCCGGCCTGGCCTCCTCCCCCAGGCCCAAGGGAAATGTGTTCCTCTCCCAGTATTCCGCCTCTCCTGCCTCCTTGGGCTCACAGATCCACCCCATCTCAACTCCTCCTTCTCCACAGCGCCTTCCCATCAGCGTTTGAACAGAGGCGTCCATCTTGTTAAGACAAAAACCAAAGCTCTCACCTCCAGACCCCTTTCTGGCTTAGACTCTTTGATTCAAGGATTCTTGGACTCGCACTCTCCAAGCCCTTCCAGTGTTCCCAGCTGCAGACTTTGGAAGCAACTGCCCCAGGGAGGAGCTCTAAGCCCGGTGACCCATGACCCACCTGTATTCCAGCAGACGCTTGACCTCTCACTGTCATCCATAAAATGTCCTTGGCTTCAAGGACTCTCCAGCCGCCCCACCCCCACCCCCACTCTCCTTTCTGGGATCTCTGCTGCTGCCCGACCCTTAAGGATCAGGGCTCCTGTGAGCTTCTTTCTCAGCCTCTCAGCCGTTCCCTCTCTCCCCGGATAATCTCATTTACTCTTGCTGGGTTAGTTCTAGCTTGTAATTTCTTTTCAACGTAAGATGACAAGTAGTTGTTTTCCAGGGAGACCATACAATTCTGTATTTAATTTTTGGAATGAGAGAATTATCCCGACATAAAAATAGGTATAAATACCGCCAAAAGAACAAAATGAAATTTGTTCCTGACAGATGCTTATGGCATTTTTACAGTGAGAGAGTTCAAAGTGATAATGATGCCACATTTTGAAAAATGATTGTGTGTCAAGCAGAGGTGCAAGAGCTTTGTGAATTCTCCCTGAACCTACCCAATAATTCTGTAAGATAATATTATTATCTCCAACTTCCACATGAAGAAACTGAAAGGTCATGGAGTCTATCCAAGGTCTACCCAAAGTCTACCCAAGGTCACGGAGCTAGTCAGTGACAGGACTGGAGTGGAAGGAGATTCCATTATGACCAAACTAAAGTGCATCCCCTTCATAACATATTGCTCCTCCGATATGGGAAATTCTACCATTCTAGTTGGATTCTGAGCTTCTTCCAATCTTCAGAATATTCTAACAGAATATTTTATGACATGTAAACAAGATTCAGTATTATAATCAACAGCTAATACACCAGCAGTTTCCCCTAGAGTTGATTTTATTTTATTTATTTTAGGGTTTTGTTCATTTGCTTGCTTGATTTTGTTCGTTTTAGAGATAAAGTCTTGCTGTATTGCCCAGGCTGGCCTTCAACTTGAGACCCACCTGCCTTAACCTCTCTGGTAAGTGGGACAGGCACACACTACTTAGAACTGACTTTAAAGAGGATGTTCTGGGTTTTGTTTTGGTAGTACTAGGGATTGAACCCAGGACCTTTGAACTGATTATATCCCCACACACTTCCCCCTCACATACACACTTTTGTTTTTTTCTGTACTGGACATTGAATGTAGGGCCTTTTCATTGAGCTGCATCTCCAACCTTTTTTATTTTTTATTTTGTTGCACACGCTGGCCTCAAACTTGGAATCCTTCTGTCTCAGCCTCCCAAGTAACTAGGATTATAGGTGTGTACCACTACATTCAGCAAATGGGACATTTTAAAAAGAGATTATTCTACTCCTGTGCCATATTTTTGGAAGTTTCCATTTATCATAGTTTGGCCTCTGCTGACCTGAAAGCCACTCTAAGCTTCAATAAAGAGGCAGCTTTGGGTTTCTTATTCCACAGAAAACAGTAGTGACTCTAGAATCACTCTTGCTCCCAAAGAAACAACTCCAAATGCTTCCACAGAAAATATTTGGGCCAGGGACTTAGTTCAGTGGATCTGCCATCAGCCTCAAAAACGCAAGGTCCCGAGTTTGATCCCCGGTAACGCAAAAATAAAACCAAAAAAGAAAATATTCAAATTGCTCCCTCCAAAGAGCTAGTAGACGGGAGGCATGGTGGCCTACACTGTGCAATTCCAGCTACTTGGGAGGTTGAGGCAGGAGGATCACAAGTTCAAGGCCACCTTGGCTAATTTAAATAAAATTAAAATAAAAGGGCTGAGGATATAGCTCTGTGGTTGTGTTTGCCCAGCGTGTACGAGACTCTGACATCAATCCCCAGCACTGAGGAGAGAGAGAGACAGAGACAGAGGAAGGAGAAGAAAAAAGAAAAAAAAAAGGAGGGGAGGAAAGAGAAGGGAAGGAAAAAAGGAAAAAGAAAAGTAAGTACAGGGTGCAGTGGCTCACCCTTGTAATCTCAGCACTCAGGAGGCTGAGGCAGGAGGATTGCCAGGAGTTCAAGGCCAGCCTGGGCTACATAGCAAGACCCTGTCTCAAAAAAAAAAAAAAAAAGAAAAGCTGGTAGAAAGGCTTTTCCTCCTGACAGGAGTCAGCTAATGCTTAGCATTCTTGGACCTGCTTGGGAGAGGATGAATGACAAAATGAGTAGGAGAGAGGTGGTGAGGCGTGGAAAAGTCTTTCTTCACCTTTGACAGACCAGGTTCAGTCTGTCATTTCCAAAGCTCACTTTGAAAAGGAAAAACCTGCTAGATCTTCTTTTGCAGACATGTAAAAATCAAGAAAATCTCTTGCAAATGAGAAATTAGACCAGCTTTGTCAAGGCAAAGCACAGACCGGTGAAGTGGGACAGATGTCTTTTTCAAAGGGAAATCCCCACCGTGGGCTTGTTGTTCTGGTTCTGGGAACTCAAGCCGGGCAAGCCACCCTTCCTGTCATGCCCACAGAGCAGCTTGAGTGGCAGGAACAGGCGCTAGCGTCCTGGGCACTCCACGCCAGAAGCGCAACACTCCCCAGGCTGCAGCACTTCTGGAAGCTTCCACACCTGCCTGAAGAAGCTAAAGTGTGTCTGTCTGTCTGCAGCGCTGGGAGAGACTTTTTCCTCCGGTGTGTATGCTTGAGGAGATGACGTTATCAGATCGCGTGCAGCAAGGAATTCCAGAGCACCCACCCTGTGTCAGCAATTAATTCCTGAGCACTGTCAGGCTTTATGGGTAAAAGGAGAGACACTGAAGCTCCCATTCGTAAGGGATCCCAAATTAGCCAAAGAAAGAGACACAGATAAAGCAACCGCATCCACCAGAAGCAGTGCCAGGCCAGTGGCCTGAGCACAGGGCTGTTGGGAAGTGGGGTGTGGAGAGGTGGACGTCGGGCAGGCTCTCCAAAGTGGACACTTTGGAGCTGGATTTTCCCCAAACTCCAGCACCAGGAAGCCAACCCCAACCTTTCCTTTCAAAGCTCCTTTCCTAAGAACCGGCAAAGTCTTGGAAAGGGCCACAGTCCTCAGATACATAACGTCCTAATTAGCGGTTGTCCTCGGAAGCCAAACAAAGTAGCAGAGTAGCAGCCTCCAAAGCCACTCTTCCAATGACAGACTAGGACACAGAAGGACTTTCAATGAGAACAAGTACCAGCTGCGCTACATTTTGGCGGGCATCCCAGTTAGCACCATTGGTGGCATGCCTCATTTATTCACTCAGAAAAGTTATTTTCTCTTTGTCATCCCAGAGTACGAGCCATCTTTCTTCAGTCGTCCCCAGGGGGAAAATATTAACCAGTTCATTAACTGAATGATGCATGTAAACAGGACCCTGGAAACTATCCTTCTGTTTGTAAAAGTTCAAGTTCTTGAATCCAAGTCAAAAATTTCTAGCAGGGCCTCACTTGTAGAGGCCAACTTTATTTTTAAGAGTGGGTTAAACACATGTTCACCCTTCAAGATGGAATTGTAACATAATAGTTGATTCTTGTTTACACAATTTCTTTTTTTTCAATTAAGTTTATTGATACATTGTAGGTATACATAATGATCACATTCATCATAGGGAATTTGTACCTGTACCTGATATATCTTGGTTCTTAGTTTTTTCCCCTTTCCCTTCGCTCCCTTCAACCCCTCCACCCCTCTTTATTTACAAAAGCTTTATTTCCATTTTTTCCTTCTTTTCTCATTTTTTCTTTCCCTTCCTTCCTTTCCCCCACCCCTCCCTAGTTCCCCTACCCATTTGAGCATTTCTATCTTAACCTTTAATTTTCATTCATTCTAAAATTTATGAGGCACCTGCCATGTTCATAGAAGGACTCCAAATCTGAGCTCACCCATCACTTTCCATCTTTATTGTTCATCATGGCACTTATACAACCTGCCGTTGTGTTATATGATACACTAGCACACCAGATGAGGACAAGAAGCTCAGGCTGTTTTGGTTACTGCTATAATTCCAGAGCCCAAGGCAATGCCTAGCAAGAAACTGCCCCATTGCTCGGTTGAATGAATGAGCCAGGCATTGTGCTATATGTTTGACATAAAGTTGCAGAACACAGTGGCAGCTACCTCGTTCCCACATGAAGGGAGTCTAGAAGGAGAAGAAAGTTGCCTCAAAGCTGGTTTACATAGCAAGCACCTTGTTTCTACTTAGATCATAATTTAGTGAGAATAATGGAGATTCTGGGAGGGTAGTTAAATTCCTGCCACTAATATCATGGGATCCTTTCTCCCAGAGGAAAGGACAGGCATGTAAATGGGAACATTACATCAATAAACATGATGGATGCAACACAGAAATAAATAAAGTGCTAAGGAAGCCTCAGAAAATCAGCAACTAAATAGGCAAGACAGACAGGGCCTTTGAGCTGGGGCTTACTTTAAGCATCAGAATCTTCTAGTGTTGCCATTTGCTCAAAACCTTCCTTTCATAGTTCTCAGACTCTGAGACTGTGAGTAGCCTCTTTAATCAGATACGGGGATGTGAAATGTAGAGCCAGACTTCCGGACTCATGTCCTGGACCTGCCCCTTCATAGGTGTGTGACCTACCTCCCTGTCCCCATATGTGAAGGATGAAAACACACCAACCCACAGGGCTGATATAAGAATCCAGCTGACTTAATGGTCCACTTAGAACTGGGCTCAGCATTATAGTTACATTTATTGTTGGCTATTATTGTTGTTTTTCAAAGAAGCATGCCTATGTACTAAAAAAGAAACTAACAACTGTGACTGAAACGCAATTCTACTTTCCACCATACACAGTACAGAAAAATCTTGTACCTAAGCACCAACACAGCTTTTCATATGAAGGAAAATCAAACCGAATCACTGTGGAATCCTCAGCTTGGTTTCACAGAAGCTGTAAAGGAGGAGAAGGAAAAACTAAACACTTGCTCCTGTGCATGGAACTCCATAAGGTGTAGTAAATAATAATAATAAAATATCTTATTTTCTTATCCACTTATTTACATATTTGCTTATAAAGTGGTT